CCTAAACCCTAAGCGCCTAAACTCTAAACCCTACACCCTACGCCCAATGACATTCAGGCCCTCCTCCGGGTCCGTCTGGAAGTGTGCGTACTCGAGTCCTTTGTTTACGAGGCAGGAAGGGGAATTCGCTGTGCTCTTCACGACACTCCTAGATTTGCTCGGTAACATAACCTCTGAGGTGGCATTGTCGGTGCCTTGTTTGGGTCGAGGGCAAAATAAGAGCGCTGTTGAAATGGCAGTTTTGCTCATGATTGGTAGGCATTGCTACGAATGCGTGTGCTCAAGACCTGTTAGTATGAGCTCAGAACATGTGGAGACTGTCGAAGTGCAAAGAACTGTAGATGGTGACCCTAAACCGTAGAAGTTCAACCCTAAAGCCTGAAAACCTAAACCCCGAACTGACCTCTAGAAGGGCCCTGGAAGTGAAAAACGTGTCCTCCACATGCCAGCAGGCCATCATCCCCTTTGTGGAGCGCAAGGGCATAGGCTGGGTCCTGCCACTCCACGCATCTTGGACTGGGGTTTAGGGTTTAGGGTTTAGGAATTGTGCCAGACAGAAGCCAGTAAGATGAAGGGTTCACCTCTCAGGAAACCATAGACACGGTCATTGCTGGAACGGTCTTCGCCGTGGCCTTGTCACTTGACTGCAGCAAAAGATCTCCACAAGCCAATGGTAGCAATGAGCCGATCGAAGCATTCTCAGCATCGTCTGCCGGGACCTACACAAGAGCCCGCCGCATTTGGTGGGCAACGGGCATAGCAAAGCGATGTCCAGGAATTTCATCCTCTTTGGCACGACAAAGATCCTGTCAGTGTTGGGGATCTATCACGACATCTTGGTGACTTGGCAAGAAGCTAAGACACCTTAATTGTGCACCCAAATTGAGGCTGCACCTCAAAGCCTTGATCAAGCTTTCATGATGAGCCACAGGCTTTCTGAAGAGAAGAGAATGCGGGGCATTCATAGCATTTGATGTAGGTGTGCCCCTCCAGCTGGAGCAGAACCGTGCACTCAAGCATTCAAAAAATCGTGTCATAGAGGTCATACCGCCATGTTATTCTCACAGCTCTTACTCCATGGAGTTGAAGTGTCTTGTTCTCGGACGAATATTGACAAACTTTATCGGTTAGACAATGAGAAGAACAGCTCGGAATAATTGAATTCTGTGCACACGGCGCACTGCATAGTACTGATACCGGCGGCAGGCTCAGCACACTCTAACCCTGTAGTAGCTGTTCGCTACAAATGCTGACATGCCACTTTCAGACATAGGTGACCTTTTTGTATGGACGTGCCCATGCGATTCATACATAACAAGAAGTGTCAATAGAGGCTGGTTGTACATTTCGAGCGCACCTGAGGTTGGTTCCTCGCACCAGGATGTTTCACAGTGGCTCAGTCATTAAACACAAGTCGCTAGAGATACAATCGCTGTTTGCACACGTCCCCAAACCGATACCCCCCCCCCATGCACAGCCCGCCCCTCACAGCCTTGAAAAGCCAGCAAGCAACTCTTCTCGTGAGAAGCGTAATCGACCAGGGGTATTTCTGTTCTATTCTGTCCATAAAGCCATCCTTAGAATCTTTGGACCAGCTTAAACTCACACAGTACATCCTCGGAGCGTCCAATCTGCTCACCCTGACACCCTAAACCCTAAAACCCTAAACCCTAAACCCTGACTTTGGCTTCTCAGATTGGCACACCTTTGCGGCTCATCGGCTTTGCCATTCTGCCAGAGAAGAGGCGCATCATCAGCCCAGGGCACGGCAGACTTTTCCTGTATCTTCCGTGAGCCCTAAAAGCCCTAAACCCTAAAACACTAAAACCTTCAAAACCCTAAAAACCCTAAACCCTAAAACCCTAAACCCTAAAAACCCCTAAAACCCCTAAAGCCCTAAACCCTAAACAAGACTTTTCCTGTACCTTCCGTGAACGAAAACCTTCGAAAGGCGGCAAATTGGGTTCGACGTTTCCTGAAGATGGCACGAAAGCTACTCCCTAGGGCCTCGGTTTAGGGTTTAGGGCCTAGGGTTTAGGGTTTAGGGCCCTGCAACCTTTGCCAGTCCATGCTTTTTCAGCCAAAACCCGTCCTGCACCGCAGAACCGGGAATTTGCAACCAACAGCAATCGGGACACAAGACTTTGGCAAGACTGCTGAATAATGACAAGAGTGAGAAGAAGAAGAAGAAAGCAACGACAACCCCAAAAAACGAAGCAGGAATGTGGGCTACAAGGCCCAGATTTCCGTAGCAACGTGGACAGGCCGAAAGAGACGCCTCTGATTCAGATCAACTGGCCCGGCATGCCTCCGCCGAAGGAAGAGCAGGAGCCGTTTAGGATTTAGAATTTGACGGTTTAGGGTTTAGGATTTAGAGTTTGTGGGCTCGGTAACATCAAAGGTCGAAGTGCGAAGTCCAGTACTTTGCCACCGCTAGCCCACTCAAGTTGCAGCTTCAATGGCTGAACACCCTCTCCACTTCCATCACTCGGAGATGTTCTGGCTCTGGGCGATGCACTCTCTGATTTGAACATTCTTCTTGCCACTTCTGTGAACATGAACCTGACCCAATACTACTTCTGGCTCGTCATTGTTGCTGTTGTTATCAGTATTGTCAAGAGAGCTGCATTTTTCTCATTGTAACATGTTGCACACTCGCAGCGCCCATATCTGCAATCATTGAAGAAAGGTCTCTCAGCCAAACGGAAACCCGAAACCCTAAACCCTTTTGAACACAACACAAAACCCAAAACCCTTCTATAGATGCAAAAGGAACCCGAAGAGCCTCGGGAGCCACCGTCAGCCCCCTTCGCCATTTTCGGCGGCATTTGCAAAGGCCTGGGCCGGGACTTATACGTTTCATGTCTGGGGTGGCTAATGCCTGAAAAAGTAAAAAAAAGCCCAAACCCGATACCTATACCTCTCAATCCCTAAAACCCCCAAGTTTGAAACCCTGAAGCCAGTAGAACAGGAACCTTGCGAGCCGTGGCATGCGTTTGCTTCCGTCGGGCAGGCTACGGAATCTTTGCCGGTATCCTGAAGGACCTGTGGGTGGATCTGTGCACGAACAGCAAGACAGGTACAGTTCCTGAACATCAGCATAGACAGATACCTAAATGCAAACAGAAGACCCATGACGCCAGGACTTCTTGGAGGGTGTGGACACCTTTGCGGGGAGATACCTAGCTTTCCTCAGCATCCTCTATGTGGCCTTCAAGTGGGCGCATTTCAAGCTCTTCAATGATTTCCCGCCCTTCTAGGCTAATTGTGGCAAAGAGCCCCGCGCATGGTTATGATGTCACTCCTTTCTTGCTCTCCCATTTGCTACTTCGCATCGGAGACTTACTTGTCACGATAGAACAAGAAAGGTTGTTGGCAAAGCAGCAGACGAAGTGCGAGGACTTTAACGAGGAAAGATACAGCATTGCAACCTTGTGCCCTAAACCCTAAAATCCTTTTATGTCGACAGTGAGCGAAGTTATTCCTCTCCACCCAACATTGTCGGGTCGTGGTCACCAACTCCTTCTAATGGATAAATGCAAAAATCAAAGATGCGTGTATGTATATATACATACACACGCATGTGTGTATATATATATACACACACATACACATATACCACAAAGAACGTATCTACATATATTCGTACATACATGTCATGTTCTTCCGCAGGTAAACTCCCCAATCTTTCTTTAGCCAGCTGCTTTGGTGGTTATTTGTCGTTAAGCTCCTTTGAATATCACGGAGTATGTGACCGAGTAGATTTCTATTCAATACCTGTTTCAATTTCGGAAGAAGTTAGCCCTAAACCCTAGACCCAACCCTAAACTTCTAAACCCTAAACCTTGGACTGTACTAGGTAATCAGTTGAGTCGACCTGCCTGGCTTCCTGGTGTCGAATCGACCAGTCGGGGCGTACCGGCTCTGGAGTTATCGCGCAGACCCTAAACCCTAAACCTCGCGGTGGTTTTACACAGAGCGGTGATTGCACGCTTAGCTTTTTGGGATTTAAGCCTCAACTGTTGAAATCCTGCATCTTTGGTTGTGCCTGCGCGGGTGGGGGTACTTTTAGAGCAACATTCGGCGCACCATGTTGGGTTGTGGCGTGGGGACGCGCGTTGGGATCATCAACGGGTTGTGGCATGCGAGAAGGGCTTCACATCCTAGGTTGGCATTAGCCGTCCGAGCAGAGGTTGTGAAGAGCACGCACAGCATACGCACTTGCTGTTTGTATATGGTTTTTACATCACTTAATTCGGAGAGCTTGTTGCTACGAGCTGAAGTTGTATGTCACGCGGTATTACTTGATATCTAGGATGAGCATAGAATTTAAAAGCATCTGAGTCGATTCCAAGCATATATTAATTAATAATGATATTCTTTAATGGGCGATATAATAATTAATGGCGTTATTCGTTTAACATATATTCGGTCATATTTCGGAGATACAAATTATGGTTTTAATAAGATTTCTGGTTTTCGAAATATTATTACAGGATTTCTTCTTTGTATAGGTCTACATATATATTTATATATATAATTACGAATGTTCAAGAAATCATGAAAATGCTAATAATTTAGGCTATCCTAAGTCCCTGGCATCAGAAGTTGGCATCCCAATTGTGGGGCTTGCTGGGGTCGTGTTCTTACGGAAACCGTCGTGCGCATAGCGAAAATTGGGGGTCGATTCTAAGCTAGATAGGCAAAAACAATAGGTAGAAATGGTATTTCGTGACTAACGCTTACTTCCGATCGAAACTTGGCTGGCTCATTAGCCTCGCATTCAAGAAGCACGAATATGCACACACACACATCATTTTGCGCACTTCCGAGACCGGCTACACGCCCTTTGTGTGCCGGCCACTCGTTCCCTCTCCCTCTCTCCAGCTCTCCCTCTCATGCTCCCTCCCTCGCTCCCTCTATCATTCTCTCCTTCCATCTCTCTCCCTCTCTCTCTCGCTCTCTTTCTCCCTCCCTCCAACTCCGTCTTTTGCTTTCTCTCTCTCGTTATCGCTCTAGAGCACTCTCTCTCCTCTATCTCCAAAAGTGTGCCATCTACTTGTGACCCTCTCCTCCTCTCCCTCTCTTTCTTTCTCCCTCTATCATTATCCCCTTCCATCTCTCTCTCTCTCCCTCTCTCTCTCTGTATCCACTTCCCGGGACCGGCTACTTGCCTTTTGGTGTGCCAGCCACTCGTCCCCTCTCCCCTTCTCTCCTTCTCCAGCTCTCCCTCTCATGCTCCTTCCCTCACTCACTCTCTCTCCTCTGCTCTCCTCTCCTCTCCTCTCCTCCTCTCCTCTCTCCTCTCTCTCCTCTCTCTCCTCTCTCTCCCCTCTCTCCTCTCCTCTCCTCTCCTCTCCTCTCCTCTCCTCTCTTCTCTCCTCTCTCTCCTCTCTCCTCTCCTCTCTCTTCTCCTCTCTCTTCTCCTCTCCCTCTCCTCTCTCCTCTCCTCTCTTCTCTCTCCTCTCTCTCTTCCTTCCTCTCCTCTCCTCTCCTCTCCTCTCCTCTCCTCTCCTCTCCTCTGATTTCCTCGATCTCCCCTCCTGTCTCCTCTGTCCTCTCCTTTCTCCTCTCCTCTCTCCTCTCCTTTCCTGTCTCCTCTTTCCTCTTTCCTCTCTCCTCTCTCTCCTCTCGCATTTTTGTTCCTCTCCTCTCCTCTCTCCTCTCCTCTCTGCTTTCATCATTAATCCCCTACTAGCGGCGGAAAGTGGACATTCGCAAGCGCTTGCCATGCGAGCATTGAATGTTCAGCTTTAGTAGGGGATTAGTCGCAAAAACACAACATTACCCGACTCCGAACCGATGCGTTTTCACGGCTAATCGCGGGTAATCCCCTACTAGCGACGGATTTCGGACGCTTTCAGACGCTTGCCATGCGAGCATTGAAATTTCCAGCGTTGGTAGGGATTAGTAGCCAAAACACAACATTTCCCGACTCCCGACTCCGAACCGATGCTGGCTAATCCCCTACTAGCGGCTGGTTTCGGAAGCTTTCGGACGCAGGCAATGTGAGCAGCGAGTTTCCGCCGCTAGTAGGGGATCAGTAGCAAAAACACACATTCGCTGCCTCCGGAACGGTGCGTTTTCATGGCTAATCCCCTACTAAGCCCTACTAGCGGCGGCTTCGGACGCTTCGCAGACGCTTTGTGCTCGCGAACGCTTGCGGGCGCTCCGCATGGATTTCGCGTAAACTCCCTAACCCCAAGACTCCCAACCTCTAAACGAGAACCCTTCTGCTGCGCTTTCGGGAAAATATTGAGAATTTCGGTTTGAGGTCCCAGGTCGCCTCCAGGCGACCTTGGCAGATGCACTGGTTGACTTGGCAAACTTCTTTGGACCTCAGCAGAACCCGAAACTGCGCAGCGGTACCCTGCTTTCCACAACCTGAAAACCTCTTCTGTGTTGAGTCTACAGCTAGAGCTTCGAACCCCCAACCTGCGAACACCACACACGGCCCAACTAGTTGCATAGAGCTTCGGGGTCCAAGGCCTTTCTCCTCTCCGTCATGCAGAAGATGCTTCATAAACCACCAGAACAATGGACCGATGGCAGAGGGGGCTCTTGACACTTGGTTATGAGCGAACTCCAAGACAGCTTGTTGAAGCCCTTTCTTGGAGTTCAAGGTCGCTGCCCAGATCTATTTGAGCCTTACTCGTGAAACTTCGGCCTGAACCCGACACCGAAACTTGACTTCGGGTTTCAGCCGTTTGGGGCATACGAGTACATGATGCCTTCTGACGCGATAGGGCTGAGGCCGTCGTCTTCGAAAGGGAACTGGGAGGTTCCAACCCTACCTGCAATACAAGCCTGACGAACATAAGCACCAAGGACAGTTGCAACTGTTCCCGATAAGCCTTGTAGACCCTGCAAGGCGACAAGTTTTAACAGCACGGGCAGAATCCAAAGGCATGAATGAAGGACAAACAGTCACTAAGAACCTCGCCCAGCACACGACCCAAACTCGATGTTGCTGCCGCCTTGAAAGTGGGCGTGTCATGGGTTGAGGGCTTAAAGCTGGGGGATTGCTGAGGGTGTCGGGTTTGAGTAGACTGCGGGCTCATTAGCTTGAACTGCTTCTTCTGTTGCGTCTCGGGGCGGGCAGCAGCTTCTGGATGGATTTTCAGACCGGCAGTGCTCAGAGTTTAGTGCCGCTTGTGCGACTTCTCCGAGGGGGCCCAGGTTGCACTCCGACGGCTTTACTTCCAAGGATCCTGGAAATATGTGTGTCAACTCTGTCACTGCAACTTAAAAACTTGGTGCGCTTAGCGATGAGCACATCCTACCCTAAGCCGCCAAGAAACCAAACACTGCTCATGTATGTACACGTGTGCATATGCAAGTATGCATTCTGGTACGTATGCAAGCATGCACGTGTGTACAAGCGTGTCTACATTGACATGAATACTAACACACGGCATGACAGCCATCACACAGTGTTACAACAGAAGCCTTCGCAGCTGGAGATCTTCGAAGAAGCCAAGGCCTCCCAGCAGCCCAAGCCTGGACCCAACTACACCAGAACGACAAGGAACCCCAGACTCCATGCTCCCGGAACCTAAACCTTGCCGTGTGTACACTAAAAAGCTCTGTGCACTCCATTCCTTCTGTCCTCTTAAGTTATAGGGCTGTTCTATGTCAAAGCCGTAATCATTGCTTTTTGAACGACACCCTAGGTGGATCTGGATTGCGGCGGGCTCAGGGCCCGAAGATATCATGCATCCGGAGGGCATCCGTTCTCCAGCACGCCACCTGTCTTGGGGCTGGCCTACTCTCCCACCTGGACCCTAAACCTGAACCCCATCAAAGCTGAACCAACGCGGTTCCGAGGCTCGTAGTTTAGTGTGCAGATTGGCTTCTCTGCTAAGTTCGAAAACTGCTGCCAACCGGATACAAAACACAAGATGAATTCAACACTGAACTACTGCTGCTGCTACTACTACGACTACTACTATCAAAACTAGATCTAGTACTAGGTTAGTACCACCAGCGCTAGCAGCAACAGTACTAGCAGCCAGTCTGCTACTACTGCAGTAGCTACTCCTACTCGCCCTACTCCAACTCCTACTACAATTACACTTATTACTACTACTGCTGCCACCACCACCA